AGTTAATGAGAGGACTCTGATTTAGACATTTAGAGGGAGATGTTGAAAATACAAGAGAGGGCTGGGGCCGGCCTGTGGCTCACTTGGGAGAGTGTGGTGCTGATAACACCAAGGCCATGGGTTTAGATCCCTATATAGGGATGGCCGGTTAGCTCACTTGGGGGACCGTGGTGCTGACAACACCAAGTCAAGGGTTAAGATCCCCTTACCGGTCATCTTAAAAATAAAAAAATACAAGAGGAAGGAGGAATAATTAAACTTGTACAGTTTGGGGGAAGGTGGAAGTGGATACAATCCAAAGCACAGGTGGAGGGATTGGCCTCAGCCTGGAAGAGGGACAGATGGAGAGAGGAGAGGGTGGGTGGAGATGTAGGGCTCCACCTTAGCTGCTGAAGTGGGCATTGCCTTTTGCTCGTGAGCAATTTGTGCTATAGACATACCTGGCTTTTACTCCATCCTCAACTCTAAGTGCAATTCTAGGCCACTTTTATGTTGCTTGAAGTTTTAAAGTTATATCATGCTTATAATCAGGAAAAACAATTCTTGATTTTTGCCCATGGAACCATCAGTCCCCATACATCTAAACCATCACTATAAAGAATGCTATAATATAATATTACTGAGAAGCTGGGAGAAGTGGTAGAAGTTTAGCTTGAGAATTTCCTGTGAGGTCTAAGGCTGAAAATAATGGATTGTGCTGAGGCCCAAATATTGGCACTTTGTCTCAATCCCAATGTCTCATATTTATCTAATTAAATAAGGTTAGCATAATCAATAGGAATTGTACCCAAAACCAGGTATTAATGTTCTATATCAGTGGTTCCCAGTCCCGATTGCACAGTGGAAATGCCCAGAGAGCTTTTTAATAATATAGATGACAAAGTTCTGCCTCCATAGATTCTATTTTAATGTCCAACTAGTGTTGAGAACCACTGCTTTAGATTTTCAGATGAAAAATAATTTATATTATTAAGCAGTCAAAACTATTAATTAAAAATAAATGAGTAAATACAACTCTGAATATACAAAAAACCATTGAGTTGTACACTTGAAAAGGGTGAATTGCGTGTAAGGTGTGTGAATTATATCTCAATAGAGCTATTATTTAAAAGATGAGAATAATCAAAACCTTAAAGATGAAATCAGAATTTTGAAGTGTAAGTTATTCATGATACAGGGAAAATCTCATCAGAGAACTTTGTTTAGAATGATTGGTCTTAGATAAGTGATTCCTAGTTTTCTGTGGTTTGTCTGCACATAGGCCTTGGTCCTCCACTGTCCCTCTATCCCCGATCACCGCCTTGGTCCTCCACTGTCCCTCTATCCCCGATCACCACCTTGTCCCTGACCCCTCCCCCAGGTTGTGGATGGTTATCGAAGTAGGTCTCAGTGATGAGATGACTCTTAGAAAAGAGATGAAGATATCTTTTTTGTTTATTACTTAGTAATAACCCTGAAAGTTTATTTTAATTTTTAGATGAGTTAAAACATCATGGGAGGGCCGGTCTGTGGCTCACTCGGGAGAGTGCGGTGCTAACACGAAGGCCACAGGTTCAGATCCCTATATAGGGATGGCCAGTTTGCTCACTGGCTGAGCGCGGTGCTGACAACACCCAGTCAAGTGTTAAGATCCCCTTACCAGTCATCTTTAAAAAAAAAAAAAAAAAAAAAGTCATGTGTATATTAATTCTGGCATATAGTACAGAGTGGCCATATATAACAAAGTGGCCATTGTTATAACTTTAATACTATTTAAGACCTTACTGAAACAACACCTCTCTTAAGCCTTTTCCAATTCTGAAGAGTTACTCTAGTCCCCTCTTCTCTATCCTCTCACAGCATTTTGTTTATCTCTCTATTCTAGCACTTATTTCATTCTACTCTGCCCATGTTTCCTTTTCTTTCTCTCTCACTTGTCTGATCAGAAACCATCTTTTATTCGATACTGTGTCTCCCAGTACCGAACACAATGTCTGGCACGTAGTAAGTGCTTAAAACAATTTTCTTTCCAGTTTACATTGGTTGTGATTACCTGTTTGTTTTCCCTGCTGTCCTGTGAGAGCAGGGAGTTCAAGAGATAGGAATAAATGAGTTGGTGAGCATGCAAACTAAGACGTAATTCACAATGCCATTGAACAGTTGGTCTTCATGTATATTTTCTGATTATTCTGGGTCCAGACTAATGAAGTTGCTTCCCTTATCTTTCACTCTGCTCCTCAGCATCAACCCACATTGTATTCCACAAAAGGAACACAAAGCACCCACTGCTGAGTGCTGTTTCGTTTATCTCACTCCCTTGATTATCTCAAAACAGTTGTTTTTTTCCCCTTTCAACTTCAATATCTGATATCCTGTGATTGTCCTTGAATACTGCTATTGTGTGTCTTTATATTTCTGGTAACAACCCCGTTAAGCAAAATCAATATATTAAATTTCTTACCAACATCTTTAAATTGGGGTGGATGGTGGATTTATAGTCATCCAAGTGTTTTCATTGAATCATGGCCATCAGGATAGTTATAATAAGCCATTGCAACAGTTCAGACCTTGGCTGCAGATCCTGTCCCACCAGCATAGGGCCAGTTTTCACAGGTTCCTGCAAAATACACGCACACACACGCACGCACGCACGCACACACACACGAGTTAGTTGTTAAATCAGAGACACACACACACACACACAGTTAGTTGTTAAATCAGAGTTTGAGGCTTATTTCTCTTTGGTTCATTACTCCTGAGACCGTCTGAGGGTGAGGGTGTCAGACACTTAATCAACACTGCCTCCACTGTTTGATCTACTATTTAGGGGAAAACCATTTAACTAATACTGTTAGGCACAACATTTCTAGGACCAGGTCATACTCTCATTCAGAAGTATCTGGTATTATAAATTTTAAACTAAAACAAACTCAATATCTAGACCTAAACATATTCAGTATGATCTTTACTTCTCCTTTTCAAGATTGAGGTGATCATAAGCAAAATTCCATTTTTAAAGTAGCACACACACACACACTGACATTCGCTTGCCTTGCCTTCCCTCCTGGGCGGAAACAATCTGAAACAGAACATTTAAGAAATCTCTTATATGACAAGCTTGTTGGGGGTTAATTGCTTGCCTTTGCTAATAAGTGTGGTCCCTAATCTCACTCCGCTGGTGACATTCTTACAAGCAGGGACATTCACCCACCTGCATTGTGCCCTCTCCAATCAGTGCTCAAGGACTTGGGCAGATCCTTGCTCTTTGAACTTTTCTTTTTTAGATTAGAACTGATCCCTATCTTGTCTTTAGTCCTCAGTACCCTTGGCTATACTTTAGTGGTGTTAATAGAATTAAATTCTCTTGAAAACAATATGCTGGCTGGTTGCTTTGATTTGGATCTGGCTGTTCCTCCAAACCCCTCAGCCATTCATTTAGAGATTATTGCATTGGATTTCTTCTACAGGTAGATAGTCTTATTCATGTTAGTCTTCCAAGGTTACTTTTCAGAGGGTAACTAATATTAAAAGTTCATGGTCTAAACTTGTCTGCTTACAGTAGTGCTGAGAGGGATGCTACTAGTACTTATCTGTTATTCTTTTTCCCTATTTCCTAAACACACCATCTTGACTAATTGAGTTTTTGCATATCTAGGGAAAGAATAGGTTGGTTTAGATATGATGACTTGCTTGTTCAGAAGCCATTGTTTCTGTCCAAACATAGCTCAACTCTGATCCTTAAGTGATTTTAAGTTCATCTCTCAGATGACTGTGTTAATTCCCAGGACTCAGAGAGTCTCTCACTTATAGACCTGTACTAACAACAAAACTATGCTCGGGGCCGGCCCGTGGCTCACTTGGGAGAGTGTGGTGCTGATAACACCAAGGCCATGGGTTCGGATCCCATATAGGGATGGCCGGTTAGCTTGCTGGGTGAGCATGGTGCTGCAACACCAAGTCAAGGGTTCCTTACCAGTAATCTTTGAAGAAAAAAAAAAGAACTATGCTCAAATGCTAATGAAACTGGGACTTCACCAGTGTTGATAGAAGGCATTTGCCTGTTTGATGATCAAAGTTTTTTGTTTCCTATCAATTCAGATATCTCCTTTGAATTGTATCTTTGATAAGATTGATTGTACAACTTTTGCCGAGTATAGCCTTTAACTTTGATAAACATTATCTTTCTCTTACCAAACACCAACCAAACCATGTTACTGCCCCCGAAAAGCATCTCCTCTTTTGGTTGTTCCTTCTTCTTGCCCAATTGAATCCTTCCTATTCCTCCCTGTCTATGCAGTTTTATCTATTCTTTTTTTTTTTTTTCCTTTTTGTCTTTTTTCGTGACCGGCAACGGATCACAACCCTCAGTGTCGTGCCCGTACCGGACCGGGACCGGCAACGGGATCGCAACCTTCGGCACTGCCCCCGCACCTCGCTCAGCCAGTGAGCGGCCGGTCTGTATGTGGGATCCGAACCCTCGGCGGGAGCGCCACCACACTCCCAAGTGGCGCACTGTAGTAGTGCGCCACCGGGCCGGCCCAGTTTTATCTATTCTAATAGGGCCTGTCTAAAGTCCCAGCTACTCCAGGAAACCTCTCCTTGACTTTGGCTTTATTCAGTTTTGTGTTTAATCATTTTCTGTACATTCTACCTTATACAGTTAGGGATTTTATGTTTATGCCTATGTGTTTGTAAAGTCCTTGAGAGAAAGGACCATTCCTCTTACCTCTCTAGTACCATGCACAGCTTACACACACTTGCCAGCACAAGTGTTCAAGTAGACTCACTGAATTGGGCTGAATCAGGTGTCAAGGAGAGTTATGGTAATTTCTGCCTCATCTCAATCAAGATGTTTACTCCAGTGACCAAAACAAAACTCAAGTTAGGAGGTTCCAAACAAGTTAAGCATCACACACTCTCAAGAAAAGACTTTTTCCTTTTTTGAAGTCAGAAGAATCCTTTTCTACTTGATAACTGAAGTAGGAACTTTACTAATGATGTTTTTGGTTTGTCTCCAACAGGCTGCACGTTAAATGGCCAAGAGGTAAGACTCACTGTCCATTATGAAAATGGGTTCACTATCTCCAGGGAAAATGGAGGCTCCAGCAGCATTTTGTACCGCTACCCCTTTGAGAGGCTGAAAATGTCCGCTGATGATGGCATCAGAAATCTCTATCTGGATTTTGGTGGTCCTGAGGGAGAACTGGTAAGAATGTTTCTGAAAAACATGTTTATTCTAATAGGTATTCTCATTGCTTCTTACCTCTTGTATAGAAAATTATCGACTGACATTCCATTTAGAGCCAGGAAATCGTGCTTCAGTTTTTGTGATGGCATTGAGTTTGGGTGGTTGTTATTGTTGTTTTCCTTTCTCCACGTTAGAAAACCATTCTCTTTTGGGCCGGCCCGGTGGCGCACTGCTACAGTGCGCCGCTTGGGAGTGTGGCGGCGCTCCCACCAAGGGTTCGGATCCCACATACAGACCGGTTCCCACTCACTGGCTGAGCGAGGTGCGGGCGCAGCACCGAGGTTTGCGATCCCGTTGCCGGTCCCGGTCCGGTACGGGCGCGACACTGAGGGTTGCGATCCGTTGCCGAACACGAAAAAAGACAAAAAAAAAGGAAAAAAAAGAAAACCATTCTCTTTTTTTAAAGTTTTGTTTGAATGTTAGAAAGAAAAAAATAGCCCTTTTAAGAAACAGGTTTTTATCAAAAATAAGATATAAAATTCTAAAGCTGGGAAACATTAATGCATAAATTCTATCCATTGCTATTATCGGCAGTTTGTTGGGATAAGAGTAATAGAGTGACTTCATTGCTACAGAAACTCTGCTGATCAGGGGAAAAGAAACAGATATATCCACACAGCTATTGTCTTTTATGATCTCCTTTTCCTTTAAAGGAAATATTGACAGGAAGTCATGATTCCTCTTAGAGGGAATAGAGAAATGTGTCATATATATTTCAGAAATCATAAATTATGATAAAGGAATAAAGTAGTACCTTTTCTCTCTTATCAGTATTGACCCAGTAGTTCAAGTCTTATCATACATGAAATCTATGTCCACTGACATAGGCACAAAAGGTGTAAATTCAGAAACACTGAATCTTGAAATTTTAGAACTGAAAGAGGTTTTAGAGATAATGTAGTTCAAACTCGAAATGAGAAAACTGTGGCTAGAAACCTTATTTTAAATGAACCTTTAGGAGACTATGGATAGGCCATGGTTCAGGGCTTTACAAAAGCCTGGGGTATTAGTGAGAGTTAAATCCTTCTCTCTATTAAGTTAGCCAGTTATTAATATCAGTTGCCACTTAGAATGAAAGGTGCTAGATTATTCCTGGCTATTTATATGTTTTTAACCCCTGCTTTATATTTAATAGATATAAAGTTTAGTGGTGACACTAGTGATCTATAATTTGTTTCTAATAAAGTTGCACTTATCTTCAAAAGGCATAGTTAACTAAACCAGGTCCTCTTCCTGATCTCTGTTATCAGTGCCGAAGATTGACTAACCATTTGACTCATGCAGCCTGACCCCAGGTCTCCTGTTTCATCTGGTGGCAACTGTACAATTTGGAGGCCTGTGCTTATTAAGAAGGTATAACTAGCCTTCCTAACTAGCCTCAAGAGTTGTCATTTCCACAACAAACCTAATGAGGTATATCAAAAAATCACACCCGTACGTGGTCATGCTCCAGCAGTTGACTGTGGTTCCCCCTGGGAATATAATTACAATTCATGGTCTCCATATAGGATATTCCTCTTTATTTTAAATCCTCTACTTTTTGGTTCTTACCAGGCATGGTGTAACCCAGTACACCACCAATTGTCTCCTAATTGTGGATGTGAAACCTCAAACCAGTGTTAAATAATGGCATGGAATAACCTTACTTCAAAGTACACTTTTGTTTATGGTTGTAAATTCCCAAGAGTTGCCATAGTGCTGGCACAGTCTTTATCCAAGTTTTTTAAAAGTAAAACATCACATCTAAATTTGTTTATTTTGCATCTTTGCTTATTAAAGTGTCTGTATGTGGTGGTGATAATTAATGTCCTTTGTCCACAGACCATGGACCTGCACTCTTGTCCGAAGCCGATTGTATTTGTGTTGCACACATTCTTGTCAGCCAAAGTCACTCGCATGGGACTGCTTGTATGAGCAGCAAAAAATCAGAAAAGAGCCTTGACTGTCACAAGAAGTATTTCCACCTCAAAAAGGAAAAAAAAAAGCACAAAAAGAAAGTTCTTTGCTCTCTCCTCCAGCACAGTGCCTTCCCGAGGACCTGCAAATCACTGCTGAACCATAACTGTGTTTCAAGAAGAGCCTACCTTTCACAAGCGACCTTGGCCAGAAATTCCAAGACTCTAATGAGCTCCAAAATGAAGCTATTGATTTGTCTTGTTGCATAATGTGGTTTATAAGTAATTAGGTTTATTTTTCCTGTTAAAAAGGGTGGTTCATTGTTTTTCTTTTTGCACGTAATCAAATAGCCAAGAGCAGTTTTCTTTCTCTTCTTCCTGTAGGATTTGTTTCGGGCTTAGCCTGGATCTGTTTTTTAGGATGACTCTCCCTTCCCAGGTGCTAGTTTGCAGCAGCCCATTGCTTTTTGTTCACTCCAGATAGGTTGTATGTTCTGTGGGAACTTCCCGTCCTCGCTTCTCCTTCCACCCTAGGAAGCCCTTGGGTTGCATCACCAGAGGGTTCTTCTAGCTGTCCTTGCTCTTGCTACATCGCACCGCAGCCATCACTTCCCACTTTATCACAAGCTTTGCCACTAATAAGTGCTAACTTTAGGACTGAGAACTTGCAAAATTTGATTTGCCTTGCCTTCCACTCCCTTTCTAGTGGTGACCAAGTTGGAAACCACTGCTTTGAAACAAAAGTTTTGCTCCTTTTAGGTTTTTCTGATTTTATCTTTGGTAGGAGCCAGGTTTTAAAACCTACTTTAAGGGAAAGTCCTCATTTTAGGCTAAGCCATTTTTTATTCCTTACCAAATGTGCCTTTGGTTAGGTTAGTGGAGCTTTATTAGTCACTGTTTGAATAACTGGATATCACTGCCATTCCAGGGAGATCATCTATTCTAGTTTTGAGGAGGGTTTCCTTAATGATATCTTTTCTAGTGGGCAGATCTCTTTGAGGAAGAAAAATCCCAAAGAGCGAGTTTGTTTAAACAGTATACTTTGTGGGCAAAGCCAGCTCTTCAACATTAACATCACGTCGAGTTGCTTTGGGCTGTGTGAGCCCACGCAGAATCCTGGCCCTGGCCCTCTCCCTTTGTGGCAGCAAAGCAGCACAGACAAGCAGCTGCTAACTCAAGACTCAGTGCTGGCTTCATAGCGCATCCTACAGTGGGCAGGGTAATGAGACTGTGGAACAGCCACCTGCATTTTGCTAAGCGTTGCCAGGTGTCCTCATTAGGACACAGTAGCAGTAAGATCGCTGATTTTTTGGTAGTGGAGAATCACACCTTGTTTTTCCTCACTTTTGAAGGGGGTATATATCTGAAAACATTTAATATAGTATAATATCTATATAAAATATCAAGATTAGCACAGTCCCTGGATCTGAAGGAAAAGGTAACATTGATTCGGATGCTCTCTAGGACTAGTTCTTGTTTACTCGATTTTTCAGGAGTGCCGTAAGAGGATGTGAGCACTACAGAGGGGGGAGGTGGGTGAGGAGGAAAGAAAAGAAAACCCAACTGTGTATGCAAAACATGAGCTATTTGGTTTGAGTGTGGCCTGACAGGTGTGATGTGAAAGAATAGACTCATGAGCAGAGAGAGTTCTAGGTGGACATTGTAACCCCGTTGTCCTCCCTCTGCCCGTAAGGCAGCCTTCCTTCCACATGTACAGTGAGACTAACAGTATGCCAAGGTTGGGGAGAGATGTCTGTTCTTCCCCCAGCTTCAAATAATTGTTGAAGTTCCAAAAATGAATTATCTGATCCCCTTAAAACTGGAAATTAAAACCTAGACAAGAATATGTTTTTCAAGAGCTTTCTGTGTTTTGAAAATTCATAAACCTAAGATTGGTTCTATCTGAGATAAATTTGCATTTCAGGGAAGAAAAAAATGTCTTTTTTTTTTTTTTTTTTTAAAGATGACCGGTAAGGGGATCTTAACCCTTGACTTGGTGTTGTCAGCACCACGCTCACCCAGTGAGCGAACCGGCCATCCCTATATGGGATCCGAACCCGTGGCCTTGGTGTTATCAGCACCGCACTCTCCCGAGTGAGCCACAAGCCGGCCCCCTTAAATTTTTTTTTTTTTTCCTTTTTGTCTTTTTCCGTGTCCAGCAATGGGATTGCAACCCTCGGTGTTGCGCCCGCACCTCGCTCAGCCAGTGAGCAGCCGGTCTGTATGTGGGATCCGAACCCTCGGCGGGAGCGCCGCCATGCTCCCAAGCGGCGCACTGTAGCAATGTGCCACCGGGCCGGCCCAGAAAAAAATGTCTTGAAGGTCCAGCTATGATTTCTAGAAGCAGAATTTCGACACATAATAAGAAAGCTTGGACATTCATTGCAGTTAGTGTGTTATTAATATGAGAACTTGAATGATGCATTCACAGACTTCAGCAGCAAGGCCATTTAGTTGAGGTTTTCTGTGTTAAAGTGAAAGGCTAAGCCACTGAGCAGATTTGCAGGGGAACTTCTAAGCTACCATGCTCTTTAGTTATATGAAGATCTGTAAAGTAGGTATGATTAAAACATGAGCAGGAGAGGCAGGGCATGTGTGCATTTCGGCCTATTTTGCTCAAGCTTAAACTGTCACGTATAGCACTGAGGTCTATAGAGTTTTTAATATCTTTTGAGTCTTGATGTGAAATGAAAGTGTATGGGAGGTTTCTTTGTCCACTATCAGCCTGAAGTGCAAGAGCCTTTAAGCTGCTTGTGTTACATACTTTAACAGCTTTTCAATCATGGGTGACCAAGGTTGTTCTTCAATTAAGTGTGTTTGTGGGGTTTTCGTACCACCCACGAAGTATTTTTTAATGAATGGGATGCCTTGATAAATAATATGTTTTGTATTTAGATGCCAAAATATGGCAAATTATTTTCAAATGATAACTAAGAATGGGCATTTTTGATATTTCACCTCTTTTATAGAACCAGCTAACTTTTTATTGCCTTTTCACTTTGAATTAGGAAAATTGTTGAGCATGTTGCGGGTTCCTGTGTGTAGAATGGAAAGGGAACTGCAGAGTAGGGCCCCACCATTCAGGTGACCTGCTTCTCGTGCCCCTTGTGGCCTGGGGCTTGGACATCTTCTCCACCTTCCACACAGAGCCTATAAGTAGCCAGTTGGTATAGAAAAGTCTTCCTTCTCTTTCCCTAAAACTTCTCTTCTTTCTCTCCATAAAAAGAAAAGGAAAGGAACAAAAGAAAAAGACACGTCTTGGGCCGGCCCGTGGCTCACTCGGGAGAGTGCGGTGCTGATAACACCAAGGCCATGGGTTCGGATCCCATATATAGGGATGGCCGGTTTGCTCACTGGCTGAGCGTGGTGCTGACAACACCAAGCCAAGGGTTGAGATCCCCTTACCGGTCATCTTTTTAAAAAAAAAAAAAAAAAAAGACACGTCTTTTCCTTGAAGTCATCAAACGAACTTTACCTGGAAATTAGTATCTAATATTTTATATGAAGAAATACTTAAATGTATGTTTATGCAGTATTTATTAGTAGGTTGTAATTGTAAGTTCACCTACCTAGTAGACAGAGTTGAATATTGGGACATGTACAGGCAATCAAAAATAGTACTTTTAATGTCATTCACTTATTTTAAAGCCATGTTTTAGCACTTTTTAGGCTAGGGAAAGTCTGATAGTGCCTGTTATCTATACTCTCACAAACTTTGTCACTGAAAATTATTGCATGGCAGGAGAGATTGAATTATTTATTTCTTATATTTTTGTAAGTAGAAAAATCTCTCTAACCAACAGATGGCTAACATTTTTACTGATTGCTTTCTTAACTTACCCTCCTAAGCAGAATGGTAACTAAGCTTTTTTCAGCTGATTAAATGCATTTTAGCTGATGAACCAAATTTATTATTGAAAAAAATTGAGCTGTGTGGAATCTGGACAAGATTATGTTTCAGAAACAGGTTTTGCTGTAAATGGTTTTGATGGACAAAAGTGTGAGAAAAGGTTATGATGTTTTTTTTTAAATTTGTGAGAAACTCCAGGTCTTCTTGTTTAACTTATATGCATGTAGATATATTTTGTTTGTTTTCAAAACCATGGAAGAACCTGTTTATATTTTTTAATGCAAATTATCTTGTAAGCTGCTATGCAAATTCTATTAAAAGCCCTACCTGCTTAAAGAGTTAAACATTTTTGAAACTTTCAGGGAAGACCTGTAGACTCAAGCACTTTCTCTCCTTTTTGTATCTTATCTTGGACACTTATGCTGAATTATTTTTTTATTATTTTCACTGGTTATAAGCTATAGATTGTACATAATGTTTAAACTATCCAAATATCCAGCATACATTTCCACATGGCTGCCATTGGTATTGATGCCATAAATGAATGGCTGGTGAGAAAGCCAAAGGTCTTCTTTTTCAATCCCTAATAAAAGTAAACTGCCAGATCTCTTTGGTCTCAAAGCAAATTGCCGTGGTCAGATCTGAATATCTATGTATGAAAAAAGACATTTAAATTTGGGATTCTGCTTCAACTTTAAGTTGAATTTATAGTCATATTCATTCTTTTTATATATATCAGGTATGACAGAGTCTACTTTGAGTTTGGAAATCACTTTCAGTTAAATTTCAATTGTTATTGGGGCTTTTCTTTTTCCCTCTGAAGATGAAAGTGGAGGAATCTGCCGTTTCCTACCATTCTCTCTTTGTGCCCTTATTTTAATTGCTTGGTAATCGAGAATTATTTTGACTTTCCACATATTATCTTTAAAAACTGATAATAGGGGCCGGCCCAGTGGCGCACTGGAGAGTGCGCCACTTGGAAGCGCGGCGGCGCTCCCGCCGAGGGTTTGGATCCCATGTGGAGACCGGTTCCCGCTCACTGGCTGAGCGCAGTGCGGGCGCAACACCAAGGGTTGCGATCCCGTTGCCGGTCCCCGGTATGGGCGCGACACTGAGGGTTGCGATCCCGTTACCGGTCAGTAAAAAAAAAAAAAAAACAACTGATAATAGTAGTCCATTCCCACCCCCTTTTAAAAGTTATATCTTTCACTGTGCTGGGTACATAGA